ACTACCCCTTTCCTAACGGTCAAGGTGTCCTTGCTGGAATCCCCTGAACGATGATGTCTCCTAGGTCTAGCACTCTTTGGACTAACAACAATTGCCTATAGTCCTGAATTTCAGTTGTGAAGCCATACGACCGTAAGGTGCCTTCGCACGATTACGAATACTCGACCTATGACACCGCCGGATCGCACGATCGCGATCTGCCCTCAGGCAATCACAAGATGTCTTTTGACGATCAACATTACGCGAATGAATACGGTAAGATTTTCGGTACTGGTTTTCCATACCATCAGGGAGAGTACATAAATGATTTCGTCCGCTGAAGTAACTCCGCCTGCAAGTGATGTCGGACTGTAGGTATAGGTAAAGGACTTCGGTCTGGGTCGCCCAGCCTGCACTGAAATCGCTACTCACGGCGACCACGGGAATACTGCAAAGACCAATTGTCAATATGGATAAAAAATTCCCAGAATATTGGAGTAACCTGCTTCGGTATGCTTGCGGCACCGGAGTATGTCTAGTTGATAACCTCACAATCGTCGGGGCTTTGGCAGAAGGAGGGGCGGTATAAGCTCGTCCCCGGCTGCCTTACTGTACCAATGGTGACGGTTAACGATCGATTCGGAAAGGAAGCAACCAGCGGTTGAAACGCTGCGGTTGTGCTCGATCCATCTACTGGGAACTGCTCTCCCCTCCCTCGCCCCCCCCCTCCGCCGACTTGCGACGTTATCAACTGTAGTACCTACAGTCATGATTCTTGCAAACAATAGGGTGTGCGATGGGGCGTCGATTGGAGTGCTGCTAAGCATCCTTTTCCACCAATGATGCCATCCCGAGTCCGCTACAATTGGCGGGAAAGCATGTTCTGGATGCGCTTCTATTCACGCACCTTCACACGCTCTATTGTTCGCAGGGATCAAGATTGTGCGGTGGGCAGTTTTGAGTAACCCAACCCAGCAGGAGTCCTGTCCTCCTCCCTCAGATCGAGCTCCTGTCTTAAGAAAATTCAGGGAATCGCATCACATGTTGTTCTGAAACCAATTTTTCTGCATGTGAGCTGTGGAATTCTTTTATTAATTCACTGTTTTTTAGGCTTCGAGTCGAACGGCTATAAAGACGAAGAATACTTCGCCGACCAAACGGACAATGCTCACTTCGGCCATAATCCGAACTATGCAGAACAATTCGAAGCGATGGAGGGCTCATCGGATTACCGAGAAGAATATAGGCAACAATATCCTGGGTAAAACTTAGAGTGCATTTCATATCCCGGAGACGGAGAGGGCGTGGCTGAGTACTTCATATGAACGTGGTGTAGGACCATTGTTTAAAGGCAGTCCCGCGCTCAAGTAGCTCGAAGACGTCCTTCGCAAGTAGTTTGGCCCCCGTCTCGAAGATAATCCTACTTTTGCGGCTTCTCAGTAAGTAACTAAAGCGCTGTGGCCTTCAGAAAAGGGCATTTCTGACACCTCCCTAATTGTCTTGCCCACCGAAAACTAAGGGAACTTCTGTCCCGAGTCCATTTCCCCGTGTTTTTCGTTCTTTCTTCCTACTCTATATTGGCATTGGATGACACGAAGAAACAATTAGTGAGCCAGAGGCGGCAGGATATCGCTTTTGCTGGCATAAAAAGAGCAGGTCCAGAAAACTCGTCCGGATATTTCCTCAGACAGCTGTTCTATGTTGTGCTTACCAAAGACCCATTTCACCTACTTTCATTTGTCACGAAGCGACAATATCCTTCTAACCGCTGGCGCGTTCAATAAACTACGCGGCCACGCCCCTCTCCATCTCCGGGATATGACGTGTACATGGGGATCCACCTATCATTTTTCTAGACAGTTGATTTTTCAGAGACTTTTGGAATGAACAAGAACCACTGTCGTACAATAGCCGACCTAAGCAATCCTCACCGTAAGTACTCACTAGAGTTACAGCTCTGAACTTTTGCTTATGTTTATTTTTGTTTTGTGCTCTTTATTTTTAGATAGTCTCTTGCTAAGCTTTTGGTAGTGCTGGAATTAGTCAAAATATACAGTTCTGGTCAATACTTATAGCAAGTACCCCTCTTTGGTTACAGTCCTGCTCAGGTGGAGGAATTGAATAACGTACGGGCAAGTAAACAAAACTTTCAGACCTAAAAAACGATCGAGTAATTAGTTGTAGCGGCAAAAATTAAGCTCGAAAAAAACCAGTACAGAAATAGTCATTCAAAAAAATTAAGTTGGACTGGAGGCTGTGAATTTTTGAAGTGATCAGTCCCTCAAACAATTCTTCTTATCTGAAATGTTCATATTTGTCTCTTTTTTGTAGGTTTTCTAGACACTACAGTAGTCGTTCTCGGCGCCGTTGGCGGTAATCGTTTGACGCTCCTCCCTTTTTCATCTTTCTTTCACCCTATAGTGAAATAGCTTTTCTTCGGGTTTCCAGGTTTTATGGGTTTCTTCTCAGCTTTACGGGTTCTCATATAGCTTTCCGCGGTCACGAGCGCTTAGAACATCTCAGAATTTATTGGGATTCATTTTCTTCTGTTCAGGCCCCATCGACCGTGGCACGACATCGTGGAAACGGCTGAATCGACGACGGAAAAGTGAGTTTTTTTATCTTTCTGCAAAGATGTTTCATATAAAATTTATAATGATTCAGAGAGGAACCTGGCTCCTACGATGACGACGGTCGACATTCGAAATGTACGTTTAGATGTTATCAGTTAATTTTTTTAGAGCTGAGAAATTTATTCGGTAGCTAGGAGGTTTATGCTCGGATTTTCTCACTGCGAAGAGAACCGAAGAAGACAGAGCGAGGGGTATCCGGGCCGATTCACAGTAAACCCTTTCCACGGTGTTACAGATTCGTAACCGTTCACATATGCAGGGCACGTCTTTCGTCGGGGACCTCTAGCGGGGATCGTATTCGGTCGTACGTTGGAGGGGGAGGTCGTATCTGGCTCGAGGAAATTTCCCTTGATGGTTGATTTTTTTCTGTTTCACTTGCGCTGTCTACATCCATATCCGAGGTTCCATACGACCTCTATTTTCGCTTGAAAATAGTAGGAAGGTGTTTGGTGGCTCTCTCTTCCCTTCCACGTCGTGGAAGTAGTAGAGGATGACAGTAAGGTGGGGGTAGGATGAGGAAAGAGGGGAATCGTATTTTCCCCAATTTTTCCAGGCGGCAGGAAGTGCTGTATATGCATAGTATCGAAAGGATAAAGAGGCTTGTATGGGGACAACTGTTCGCAACTGGGCGGGTATGTCCACGGTAGGCGGTGCTGGCGGGGGCGGAGTCAGATGTGGAAGAAAGTTGAGAAAATCGTTTAAAAAGCCCTTCAGAAATCAAACAAAGGGCGCTGGTGTAGCACAGGTATGCTGTTCAGCACCTTTCTGGTCATGAGATAGATGACGTGTATTTGACGTCATATAACAATTATATTTGACGTCACATAGCACAGTGACGTCAGTCAGTGACGTATTTTCAGACGCCTTATCGTCGTCTCATTAAGCTGCTGATCAAACATTATCTCGTAATTTATAAACATCTGTGCTTTACTTAGGCCCCTGTTTGTGGATAGGATCTCCACGGATCAAGCCATAGTCTTGTTTGCCGCGACGCTGGGCGTGCCCGGGAGAAAGGGAGGGTTGGGTTGGTTTGGCGCGGTGGCCAGCCCGTCTCCTGCAACTGTTGAAGGGAGGGAAGCGACAACAATTGGTGGAAATGTTTTAGCGCCTGAAAAAAAACATCGAATAAATATCGAAACTAGGGGCCGTGGGGAGGGAGGAAGGGGCAGGAACTCAATTTCCTCGAGCCCACCGAGAATTTCGAGACAGTGTTCCGGATTCTGTCAGTTTCCAAAGCGCTGTGACCACGGCTTGAGTGACGAATTATAATCGCCACTTCCTCCCACCCTAACTTGTAACTTTATAGTAGTTGCCCTTTTCATTATACATACATTTTACGATAGTCGCCCTTTTCATTCCAATCTGTCCGGTTTCGCACTTTGTTCTGATTTTAGCGAGTTATCGGACGTCGTCCATTGACAAGAACGATCGACGGTATGATAGCGATTCCAGTCATCGTGGAGGCTATTACGGAGATGAAATGGACGAACGGTGAGTGCTGTCATGCTCCCTACTCACGATAGGGCGTACGAAGGGGCGTGAATTGAAGCGCAGCCAGGGCAGCCTTTTTCGCCAATTGCTGCAAACTCAGAAAGACATCATTGGTGTAGGCCACCCTGGCTTCCGTCCAATTTACGCCCCGTCACACATACTAGGGTCGGATCATGACTACATGACTACACGACCAGCTTAGTCCTCTTCGTCGGCTTGAAAATGGTCGAATCACTTTCAGACGTACCGACTCTCGAACTTACAACTGGCGGTATGATAGTATTCAAGAAGAAGATCACGTAAAAGAGAACTGGCGAGATGAGAAGGAGCTTCACGAGTGGGACGAACAGGAACCAGAAGATCACGATTGGCGTCATGAGGATCAGAAAACTGGGACCAGGGCCCATGAAGAAGAACAGTATGCCACCGAAGGATATCAGGCGGATCGGGAAGATTCGTCGCGACAGAACAGCGTCGAACGGCCAGAAATGCACCAAACAACTGATATAGCTCAGTAAGTTACTTTCGCTTTGTATCCTTAGAACCGCTTGATATTTTCGCGCTGTATTTTGGTAAAAATGCTATTTCATGTGGAGGATATGAAAGGACTAGAAGCGGGGTACATAGCGTAGTTGGAGGAATCCCATCAGGGAGTCGCACTTGGTTTCTGGAGGGGGGGGGGGTCGAGTTTCCCTCTGAGGGAAAATTCCCCAACCGCGAGGGATTCTTTTTTGACTTTTCTCATTTTTCCCCGTTTCTTTCGCTATATAGTGAGAAGGTAGGCACGATGGGAAGAGGTCACAGCACATAAGGAGAATATGAGGGGATCGTATTGAAAGCGCTGTCCCACCAGATGCTGTAAAGTAGCTGGACGTCTGCCCCTGGGACGGGCCATACACTCGTACGTACTGAGTGAATGCTGTGGAGCATGAAGAAGTATGGCTTACATGTGGGGCTAAATAGCTGTATCCAGTTTGTTGGGAATAAGGAGTTGCTTGCGATTTCACCTACACTTTTCAAACTGCAACATGAAAGGTCCTTTGGCCAAACTAGTACCCAAAAAAGCTGTTCGAAGAAACGATGTCTGACTCTATCTCGCGGTCGGGAAGAGGAATTCCCAAAGAATATTGCGATGGGGCACGCCGCTACCACTTCAATATTCAATCTATTTTCAAGGTTTAGCCTGAGAAGTACAGTAAACTCAGAGAGTCGTACAAAAGTAAAGAAACAAGAAGTCGAGCAACCAAACACGTCTGGTTTCGCTTTCGGCGACCAAGTGGAATTAACACATGGCAGTGAACCATTCGCTGCCTACGCCAAAGAACATCTCAGCACTGTACAAGGTCGGCATAGCTGGTACGGCCATCAAATATTCGGAGGAAGGAAGCTTCCTACCGTCAATGTATCATTTAGAGCGGGTCCACGGCATTAACATCTAGGTGTTGCAGTCCGTAGCGTGGCGTTTTCCGAATGAGATTGCTATGGCAATGAAACAGTGCTGAGGATAGTAGAGGGGAAGAGGGGAGCCAGTGCAGAAGTAGGTGTTTTCATCCTCTCAGATGAGTGAGTTACCAAGGCAGCCTTCCCAGCAGGCATGTAAAGCTTGGTTTGCCGATCCGGTATCTCATCCCCTGTAGGTGGCATTAGCCACTACATCTTTAAATAAGAATATTAGTGTCTATTGCGCTCCGTACCAGTTTATATTTCTGGCTACACCACGGTGTTAAAGAAGAAAGTAAGTATAATGAAACGGATGGCGATGCTCTTCCGAAGTTTGTTCCGAGTTTTTTTTTCGCTGTATGTTAGTGACTACCGTTCTAATGTATGCACATTTTCGGAGCATTCGTTCGAGAATTGGCTCCAGAACAAGACAACACAAAATTGTGGTGTTTCTGTGTATGCGTATGCTTTTGGAGAGTTGCGCATCACATCATTTACTTTTCTCTAGTTGGCCCGTTGAAGTTTTCTGTTTTGTAGCTTGCACAGTGCCAAGGATAAGGCCCAAATAAAGAATTCAAATGGCCCACAGCGTCCGTGTCTAAATGAATGAGAACGATTTCCGGTTCTTCCAAGCTGCTTCCCCCCATCGTGCATAAATGTATATGGGAATAAAAACCCTTCTAAGGGTTGAACTTCTCCAGTAGAATGACGGCAAATTGT